AGGTATTGCATTCGATGGTCTGGAATGGAGGGGTCTGGAACGGAATTCGGGGACTTGATCCGGAGCTCTGGATCGGAGTCTGGATCGGGATGTGCGCTCGCCCTTGTTCCGGAACTTTGATACTGAGCGGTAGCCATATAGGGATAATGGAATCTAAAATGAAAAGCACTATTTAGAGTATAGGGTGGTTAAGGCTAATCCCTAGAACCCTAAAACCTAATCCCTAAACAACCCTCATGTACATGGAGAGGCTCGAAAAAGAAATGGAGACTCGGAAGAGCCGCAAAACAGTATCGTCCTCAGCAAGGAAAAACCATATAGGAGGTCTTAAAATTGTACTTAAAAAACTTTACAAGATGCAGCTTGCAGCGCGCTGCACCTACTGGCTTATCAGAGAAGACAAAGACGCACTTTAGCATTCAAGACTAGCATACTTATAGATGACTATGGGATATGGCCTGGCTAGAAATTGGGGTATCCCCATGCCTAGTTCACGAATCTTGCTGTCCCTCTACTGGTGTACATACTCGCAGACGATGTCGCAAGAATTGACTCTACTCCATATCCCTCTCCTCCCCAAAGGTAACATGGAATCTGAGCGGGATCGTGGAAGCATTTCTCTCGTTAGACAAAAACGACGCCTCTAAGAGCTCCATCTTTCAGCAAAGAGTAAACCTTGGGTGCTGCCCTCCCCCACCCTGTAACAGTCTATGTTAGGGGAATCATTAAGGTCCATATATAACTACTAACTAAATAGTATTCAACTGTTACAAGTTGGGGGGGTACCCTAAAATAAGCCCGCCGAATCTAAAGTCTCAGCGCAAGAAGAACTGCATTCCTCACCCTGAACCATGATGCGACGCTATAACGCGGTTTAGGATTTGGGGAAGTTACCATATAGAAGCATATTGTTATAGTCCCCCCCCAAGTAGATAGAATACGGCATTGGGTATAACAAGATCCCCATGTACCCCATATTCTATCTACTTAAGGGGGCCTATACCCCCTGTATGCCTAGTCTTCATGTCATCTTCCATTTTTGAATTCGTCATAATGGTCTTTATCTCGAGGAGGGCCATCTGCTTGCCCTACCCCTTAATGGGTTTAGGGTTCAGGGTTTGGGGTTTAGGGTTTAGGGTCTTGAGGTTTATGGTTTTGGGGTTCAGGGTTTTAGGGTTTTGGGGTTTAGGGTTTAAAGCCTTACTTAGAGATCAAGGAAGATAGGTGAGTAAACATAGAGTAAACTCCACCAAGCATGCCACTTTCTCAGTGGAACGTTGGGCCTGTCGGCGGCAAAAACAAGTGCCGAGCCCCAAACCGTGGAAAGCTTCGCCCCCAGCCCTACAGGGTTTAGGGTTAAGGGGTGTAGGGTTTAGGGTGTAGGGTTTAGGGTTTAGGGACATTACCCCGACATGTAGAGAAATAATTGGACAAGAAGATGGACAAAATGATGGAAGCTAGGATTCTAGATGGACTACATGGACATTTCCCTAAAGGGTTTAGGGATACTACCGCGACATACAAAGATGGACTACATGGACATTTCCCTAAACCCTAAATCTGCTCGGACGGGTCTCGATGATCTCGCGTAGCTTCGACTTGGCGTCATCGTCCAGGCGGTACTTTTCCATCACCTACCCGGGGCCCTCATCCCCTAAACTCTAAACCACAAAACCTAAACCCTAAGACCTAAACCCCAAAACCTAAACCCCAAAACCTAAACCCCAAAACCTCAGACCTTAAACCCATAGGATCCCTGCCCCGGCACCCCGAACGGGGTAAGCCTACACCCTACTGGCCCAAGTCTGGGTTCTAGAAAAATATTGTTTAGGGTTTTAGGGTTTTAGGGTTTTAGGGTTTAGGGTTTTAGGGTTTAGGGTTTAAGGGTTTAGGGTTCAGAGTCGAGGGTTTACGGCTAGGGTTTAGGATATTGTGTCAAGAATGCAGGATCAAATTGACAAGGTAATGGACAATGAAATGGGCCCTGGATTTCTATAGGTACACGGATCAGGAAGAAAGCCTCAGCATGAATGATTCCTGAAGTCTTCAATCAGTAGGGCACGCCAAAGGGGCCCAGTGTCAAAGTGCCAGTGGGTTTCAGCCCCTTGGCCCCGTGCCCAGGGATCTCCCAGAAGAGTCACACCAAAATGAGACATGAAAAGCACCAGACGTTCAAATCACGAAGAGAGCGGGCTTTGCGTTGAAGAAAAGGAAGTGGCTTAGAATTTAGCGATGTGGGGTGCACCCTGAGCCTGACGACCCACCATCCCCAACAACGATAGTCCCCCTTAAGTAGCTAGAATATGGCTTTGGGTATATTAGAACAAGATCTCCATATACCCCATATTCTATCTACTTAAGGGGGACTATACCCCTCGAGCAACCAGAAGTAACAGAGTGGGTGTTTAAGGGACCGGGCACTGATCTTTCTGCGAAGTCAATGCTCTACATATACGCCCAAAATTATATGCGGCAAGGACCTCATGACGAATGGATCTTCTAGCGCTGAGAACTTCAGCTGAACAAGTTTGCGTGAGGCGGGAAAAAGACGCGTCCCCCTCTTGCTTCAAGTGTTTGAAGGACCCTTTCCATTTGGGCGCGCCAAACTGTTGTTGGGGGGGTGGGGGGGGCGGCACTACACTCGAATCCACAACATCCCTTCCATACGCCCCTGCCTGATAACACCCCTCCCAGCACCCTTAAAACTTGAACGCCTAACCCCACTGCACAAAAGTCCCCCACCTTGCCCCGATGTACACACATCCTTTCCCACGGCGCATAAACCATCATAAGCCTGTTTCATCATAATTCCTGAACCTCAAATGGATCAATTTGAGACTATTGCCCAGCTAAACAAGGCCTTCTCCGCATCTGACAAGTCCGGGAGCTCGTCCACTTCACCTTCCAGCAGCTTCCTGAGCAAGGTACTTGGTTTAGGGTTTGGATAGGCAGGGGTGATACGAAAAACTCGTGCTTTTTGTTGGCGAAAGTCAAGCAGACAATAACAGATTACCTGCCTATATTTAACTTGGGAACCTACATCCTAAACCCTAAACCGTGTCAGTTGAGGAGGCCGCTCTGGGTCCATGATAGCTATGGGGAGGGCCGGGGTCACACGCTAGGTTTTGGGGGCCGTCTTGCAAGGTAATCTCCCAGGTAATACGAGGCTGCGTGCAAATATTTAGAAAGTCCTTATCATCGGGATCTTCTGAGAAGCAGTTGGTTGGGCTTATATATGCAGAACACTCGGAATGATATGGCTTCAATGTTGAAAACCTGCGGCCAACACATTCCACCCGCGCAGCGCAAGTGAACACCCTGCGAACACCGATGCCAGAACCTTTATCCCAATAGTAGATGCTGGGCTTCGGGCAAATGACGGTGAAAAGGTTACGAAGTCAGAGGGTATAATGGGTTCTGTAGCAGTCATGCAAGGCATGTGGCTTGTGTCAATTTGCGTTGCAGGCGTGAATGCCAATTTTTGTCAACAGCGGGACCCGAATATGAACTCCGATATACCACAGCCCTTATTACAGGGACTCCCACAATAGGGAACGCTAAACCCTAAGCGCTCCCTGCGTGACCGGATCCCTCGTTACATTTATGGAAGACCCCCTAGACTGGGGTTTACGGTTTAGGGCTTAATGGTTCTTAGTAGTGAGTAAGGGGATTCTTCATATTATAGGGTTTATAGGGATTGTATTCCCAGTACGCAAAATAAGCGCATTTTTTCAGGGCAACTAGTTCCGGGAACTTTTCATAGCTAAAAGCTAGTTAGCGCCAATCCAAATGTGTTCAAATCGTAACATGTTGAAACCTCATTGCCATCTATATTTAAAACCAACGAAACCCGAATCAACATCTCACTTCTAAGGATTAAGTTGAATCAAAAATCTGTTGTGAAATCAGAAAAAAGCTGACGAACCACTTAAAGTCTAATTACAAATCGAAGAACCGTCCACTAAAACCACTTGAAACCTGCTTGAAATCAAACAACAAGCCAAGTAAAACAAGTGGGAAATAGTGGAAACTACAGCAGCTCCAAAGCTCATCAACATGAACTCAAAAACAATGAAAACCAATTTACTCACGCTCTTACCACTAATGCTTAAATGCACAACTTGTACTTAACACTATGTACTTTTCCATTTAGTGAGGATCAGGGATCCTTATGATGTGACAGGGTTGTGGAAGCCAATTCTGCACCCTAAACCCTGAAACCCTAAACCCAAAATCCAAAAACCCTAAACCTAGTTCATGCGGTTGGATTACGTAAGACAAAAGCCTTGACGAATACCAGTGCTATAGTGCTATTCCCAAGAGCCCTCATAGATGCTGCAGTCTAAACTCCTTAAAGGAGGTTATATAGGATCTATGTATTATGTAGGGTTCCTAGTATAGGGCTTTCTTATGGGGGATACTAGGAGCTTGAACTGTAGCTCATACATGCAAAGTGTAATGTACCCTAGAAAGACCCATTTCAGTTGTTAAAGCCGTCTACAGACCTTAAACACTAAACACTCAATCGTAAAGCCTCAAACCTACACCCTAAACCCAGCCTAAACCAGTGATCAAGCAAGCTTCCCAACAAGTAGGGTTGCCATGGCATTGGCACGCTTGCAGTACTTTAAATGCTGCTCGATGGTGTTGAGATCCTTCGGCTTAGGGTTTAGAATTATGGCCTTCCAAGGTATCAAAAAGTGCTGCAAACTCGAAACTCGTTAGAACAAGAGCCTTTGTCAGTGACCGAAAACCCCCACGTTAGGACCCTGTTTGAATCAGATGATAGGTACAGGAGCCTGTTTCCGGTTTAGGGGCTACCAAAATCCTTGTACTAGAATCATTCTACTTGTGCTTATGTGGAAATGAGGGTTCGGATTCCAACAGTAATCTTTGAATAGTCTTCATGATACCCTCATAATGGTCCCGGCCTAGCCCATTGCCAACATTTCCCGGCAAGGCGTGAGGAAGCAGGGACTGTAAGAAGGATACACATCAGCACTGCCACAGAGCTCTTCTCCTTCATTTGCTACTTACCACGAATAAGGATGCTTTTACATGGCAATCGCTCCTCAGGTAGTTCTTTTTTATTCGGGCATCTGAGTAGGATTCTTTGTGGTGGTTGAGCCATAGGGCAGTATATATGTTCTTCTGTTGAAATAAGATAACCACAAGGAGAATCTGAGCTTACGCGGTTTAGGATCTAGGGTTGAGGGTTTAGGGTTGGATCCCGATTACAAGAACACTCACCCTAAACCCTAGACCCCAATTACAACGACACTCACATAGGTTGCATGTCTGAGGTGCCCTAAAACAAGCACAAGGCCATCAAAGGGGTATAGGGTTATATAGGGGTATAGTCTAAACTCCTAGTATCCCCCTTAGTAACCCCTATAGTAGTCTCCTACGTAATCCCCTATACAACCCCTCTTTAAGGAGCTTAGACTATGGCTCATATAGGGGTATAGTGTTTATCCAGATTTTCCACAGCCCTGAGCACGCAAGGCCGGTTTGCCGAGGCCTATGGGGGATTGGTTTGGCGCTTACATGCAAGCGCGGGTTTCCTAAAATGAGGGTCCCTATATGAGCCACTGTCTAAACTCCTAGTATCCCCCTTAATAACCCCTATAGTAGTCCCCTATATAATTCCCTGTATAACCCCCTTTAAGGAGTTTAGACTATAGCTCATATATCTTGGGGTCTACATTGGGGTCACCTTACCTATGGATACCTAGTTGGCCAACGACAACACTAGCCGTTACGGTCCTTGTGCATGCGGTCAATCTCGTTGTCTTTCTTCCGCCGGTGAATGAGCTCCTTTCACCAATAAGAAGGTTTGAAGCTAGGACTATATGGGTACATAGAAGGTTCTATACGTCTTGAATCAAAGGATTCAGTTAAACACCAACACCCAACATGAGAACCCTAGAACAATAATGTGACAACAGTAGGGCCGACTTTTGAGGTTGGGACCTATCAGTACTTACAAAAACTGCTGGTCCAAGAACCTCCATCTTTTCTGGACCCTAAATTGTGGGGTGCCTCTTGAGGGAAGAACCCCCCAAAAGCATGTTGGGTAGAGGTCTATGCTAGGACACTAGCCATAACACGGTCGTGTTTGCCATATGGTAAGGATGCTTCCCCAAGTATTCCTACTTACAGGGGTGTAGGGCTTACGGTTTAGGGTTTGAGGTTTAGGGTGAGTTGCCCAGCCCAAAAGCAGCCAACCTTCTACTGAAGGTGCAGTCATCTTCACCCCACAAGGTCAGAGCGCTTCCTTGTCTGATGAATGCCCCCAGCGTGTTCGCGTGGGACATTCTACCCACAAGGTCAGAGGTTACCTAGTCGCTGGAGGTCAGAGGTTACCTACTCAGCGAGTAAGAAATCAGCATACCCGACCAGAAACACCTAGACCCACTAAAGGATCCTAGCTTCCCCAATTAGTACTGGGTTCATATTGGGAGGGGCTCCATTTTTTGGATCCTTTAAGGGGGTCTGGGCAATTATCAACCCAACCGAACCCTGAGCCCTAAACCCTAACATGAACAGCCAGAACCAGACGGAATGGATCTTTTCAGGCTTCTGTCCTCTACTTCGTCTTGGCAGTTTCCCAAAACAGGGGAACTCCCATAGAGACCCCCAAATACTTTAATCCTCAGTATAGGGACCTGCAAGAAGGTAACTCTAATTTGGCAAACCCCGTATTCCTCAAGTCCAGGGTTCCGCAGGGTCAAGGTAAACCTTACATTGGGCCTCCAAACCCGGACCCAAATGCAGGAGCTGCCCTGAGATACAGCTCCAAAGCCAATGCGGGGATTTGGGATACTAACCCAACTCCTAGATTAGGACCCTAGAGCTATCATATGATCTATACAAGGATCCGTATTGCAGGGGCTTGGGTTACTACAGTACTCTTCTTAATCCCTGCCCCCTACTATTGACCCCCCCACCCGCCCAATATTAAATACTCCCAATATATATATATATATTGTAATAGACCACATTATGGAAGTCCCTAAACCCTAAACCCTAAACTGCTTTAAATATGGTAGTTTCCCAAAATAAGGGGACCCCAATATAGACCCCAATATACTATAATCCTTTTTCTAGGGACCTTTAAAAAAGTACCCCAAATTTTAGGAAACCCCCATATTAGGGGGAGTGGATTATTCTCCGAGCCGGCAAGGTGCTGTAAATCTGGACGCCACCGGGTCGTCGAGCTTGAACTTTCGAGCCAGTCGCTCCACTTCTTTGTCTGGCTTCACCTGGCTTAACTAAACCTTAATTTAGGGTTTAACTAAACCCTAATTTAGGGCTTAAACCCTAAATCCTAATTCAGGGTTTAACTAAGCCCTAATTCAGGGTTCACCTAAACCCGAATTCAGGGTTAAAACCCAAAACCCTTATTTAGGGTTTAACTAAACCCTAAATTAACGTTCCACTATCGGCGTAAAAGCGCTGCCATCCTTGCGTTGTCTTTTTGGGGAAGTTCCAGGTTTCTTCTGAATTTTGGTATGGGTGATTCCGAAGTGGGTTTAGGGTTTAGGGTTCTTCCACAACACATCTCATCTGGCAAGCCTTGGATTGTGCTGATTGTTGAGGGTGCGTGGGCCAGCGCAGGGGAGGGAGGCTGCCTGGACACCCAAAGCTCCCAACCCAAAACTTTTGGTCAAAATGAATTCTTTTTTGGAAAACCTCATGTGTTAGGGTCTGTGCTTGGAAGGGGCGGAAAAATCACCAAATCCGGTGGCTTCCAGAAACTTAGGGATCCCTTTCTTTCGAGGGGCTCCTAGCAAAGAGGCAACAGGATATTGAGGGTCTGCATGCCTGCGGCCATATGGGCTGTAGTCTTAAACTCCAATATCCCCCTTCATAAGCCCCGTAATACTTCCCTATGTAATCCACTATATAACCACGTTTAAGGAGTTTAGAGCCTAAATCCTAAACCCCGAATCTCTGAACCCTATCAAAAACATGTTTAGGAGTTCAGACTACAGCACACATATAGAGATCAAGAAATTCAAAACCCTAGACCCCAAACCCTAAACCCTCAACTCCAGGACCGAGTCGCTTTGCCAATGAAGCGACCGCTTTCCATCTCACCGATCTTTACGGTTAATAAGCCAGTCGGACTTCTCGCTCTCTCCTTAACTGGGATATAGGGTTTGGGATATAGGGTTGAGGGTTTAGGATATAGGGTTTTGGATATAGGGCTAAGGGTTTGGGACATAGGGTTTAGGATATGGGGTTTAGGATATGACGAGTTCAAGGTTTAGGGTTGCGGGCCTCCCAGAATCAAGGGTCCGGGTCCCATTCTGGAGGACTCCTACACGAGGATTATAGTATTCGGGGATCTATATTGGGTCCTCCATGGTCCCCCTATTTAGGAGACTACCAATATGAGCGTTGGTTGAAACTTCTGCATGACCTGATGCCATGGTCAACTGTGGGGGTCCTATTGCTTTTGGGTGTTTTGGCGTAGGATGAAACAAAGGAGGGGTTCGGCCAAAACGCAGTCATGGTTTTGTCTTCGATTGAGCGCTCTCAGTTTTGTGGGGGTCCCATCCCTTTTGGAGCTTTTTCGCGCGACTCATGCATCTCACGGCATTGCCTCTTTTCGTCCCTAATACGCGAGTATTCACATTTAGCAGGAGCACCGGTCTCGAGACTATATGAACTGTGCTGAGGCAACAGACAAGCACATCTGAGTTATATAGCAAATCTGCAAGGACACAGTGGCTTTTACGACGGTGCGCGCGCGTTGGCACTTCTCCACTTACAGCCTTGAACTGAATGTCAGCAAGACTTAGGTGGTAATTACCCTGTAACCTTTTGGTTCATGTTGGGCTTTGTCGTGCTCGAGAAGGTTGAAGGTTACTTACTAGACAGGTGGGTGAGGGCTCTGGATGCTGAGTGCCTGCAGGCTACATTTGTGGGTTGCAGCAATTACGGTCCCTTTTTTGAAGTCCCTATGACAACGAGCTCAGTATGCTGGAGCTGTGTAAGGGGGGACTCCCCCTTTTTGCAACCCCCCAATTGCCTTGCGGTCTCTGAGCCCTCCTGCTGGCCCTTGTATAAAGGTATATACCGTTTAAGATCGGCCCTTCAGCCTTTCCCTGATGAACGCCCTAAACCCTATATAAACCCTTCACAATACGTGTTGCTATTGCAAACGCAAGCTTCTAGAGTCTCGTAAAGCTTCTCGATATCTTCCGCCTTGGTGTCCTGCCTCTTCTTCATCGTCTCGTTCAGCCGCTTGATCCACCGGTCCTCAATGTTGAAGTAATCCTTAGAGATCGTGAAGTCGCCACGGGCTCAGGCACCGAAACCCCTAAGCCAAGGATGACGACGACGAAGGCTGTAAACAGTTGAAAGCAACTTGATCACGCTATTGGGCCTTGTTGAAATAGACTTTCATAGGTGTTCTGATCACAAAAATGTCTACCTAGCTTCCTGAAGATATCCCCATAGCCATCCACAGAACAAGCAATGAACATATTCCTGTACGGCATCTAAACCATTGTGAAATCCAGGGTCCCCTATACCCCTCTCGACATATGAGTCCTTAAACCCTAAACCCTAAAAAAGCGTGGAAAGGGAACCCTAGGCACCCGATCAAATGGCGGCTCTATGGCAGCTCCTGAAAACATGCGCTGAGACCAAGAAGCCCATATGCACGAAACTAGTTTAGGGTTAAGGGTTTAGGGCTCAGGGTATAGGGTTTAGGGGGGTAAATGTTTGCTTTGAAAAAGGGAACGCTGAATCCCCAAACCTCGCCAAGCATCACAGAGCTCCTGTATTTCCGGGTCGATTGGTTCGTCGTCGTCGCCGAAGTCACCGCCGGCTTTAGATGCGGAGGGGCTGCTCATCGCATTCTTCATCATAGTCTGCCTGCATTCTCCGTCAAAGCCGTTTAATTTATGATGGCAACTCGCAATTCCACGAATCAAGGTCGACAAGAATACCAACAAAGGTGCTTCAGCTCGGGCAGCAAAAGCGCACAGCATTCTTCAGGGTAATTTAGAATAATTTCGATTCCAATTTTAAGGACATTTGGTACCATTCCCTATATAAACCACCATTTAGGGTGAGGTCGGGTGAGGTCGCTTTAAATTGCCCAGATTCTTAAGGAGAGTCTATACTCCAATATAATGACCCTGCTATAACCCCAATATATACCCTATTGGGGTCATGGAAAAGAAAATAGAAACTACTACAAGGAGAGTCAAGTCGCGTGAGCTGCCCATGCCGCATCTGCTGTTGCTGCATCTGCTGCATCTGCTGTTGCTGCATCTGCTGCATTTGCTGCTGCATCATCATAAACCTTGAGCTTGGAATTTCTTTTGACTTACCCTAAGGGTCCAAGTACGCAAATAACAGGACTTTAGGTCCCAAATACCACTGATATTATAGTATTTGGGCGCAAAAACCCCATTATTTGGGTCCTTGGACCCTTAGGGTTAGTAAGCCTAGCAAATACTCCCAAATAAGCCATAGTGTACACCGCCTAGAAAGCCTCCCAAGTGCGATCCAGAGGCATCATGGGGTTCATCATGGGATTCATCCTTAGCCGGATACCCCAAACCCTAAACTCTAAACCCTATACCCCAACCCTAAACCCTATACCCCAAACCCGAAACCCTTATCCTATAGGATTCGGGGGGGATTTAGCTTTAGCTTCTGAGGCTCGCCCTGAGCTGTGGAAAGTCGAGGGGGTGGTGGAGGTGAAGCAGTATAGTCCCCTTTAAGTAGATAGAATATAGGGTTTAGGGTTTATAGTCCCCTTTAAGTAGATAGAATATGGAGCTTAGGGTTTACAGCCCCCCTTATGTAGATGGAATATGGGATATATATGGGGATCTTATTATAATATACCCACAGCCATATGCTATCTACTTAAGGGGGACTATTTACCGAGCGCATCCAGAAGCTCATGAAAAAGTGCAAGAAGCTCAGTCACAAAATAGATTGGCCAACTGGAGAAAACCCTAGACCCTAAACCCTAAACCGTAAACCTCAAACCGATCATAGCCATCACCCTTCATCCCTAAACCTTGCGCCACCCCAAAACCGTAGAGAGCTTTGAAGCCCCACAGCCCAGCACTGGTTGCTTAGTGGGATGCTAGCATGATTAAAAGCATTTCTTTTGGTAGATTCCAACCCTAAACCTTAAACTTCAAACCGAAGCCCTAGATCCCTAAATCCCTAGAACCTAAAGCAATATACCCTAAACTTCCCTAACAAACTATTCTGAACACGGCCCCAGAGGACCCCTTAAGTACCTAGTCCAAAACCCATAAAACCTCGGCAGAGTGCGAGAGGGTTTAGGTTTTTAGGGCTTAAGGGTTTAGGGTTTATGGGTCTAGGGTTTAGGGTCTAAGGTTTAGGGTTTAATGTTTAGGGTTTAAGGTCTAGGGTTTAGGGTTTAAGGGTTTAGGGTTCAGGGACGGGTAGGATTTAAGGATTTAGGGTTCAGGGTTTAGGGTCGAAGCTCTGTCAGGAGACCAGCTACAGTGAAGAAAGGTTTAGGGGTAAGGGTTTAGGGTAGGATCTATATGAGTTCTAGAGATTCTAGTGGTGGGTATGGGCTCTGAAGGGGTTCTTGGTTTGGGCAGACTTCAACCCCGAAGCCCACCCTTCCCCAACCCCAAAGCCTACAACCCCAAACCCTAAATCCCAAATCCTATAGGTGTAGGGTTTAGTGTAACTTCGAAAGTCCCAAAATCCAAAAACCCTACGATCTTGAAAGAGCTGTTGGCATTCTTACAGCCCAGCATCAACCCCTAAACCCTTATGTCACCGGGCTGCATCCCACCGGCCCCCTGCATCCCACCGGGCGGCATCCCTGGCCTGATATTTCTGGGCTTAGGGTGTTTTAGGGGGTTTAGGGTTTAGGGTCTGGGGCTTAGGGTAGGGTTTGTCGAAAAGGTTTGGGGTCTAGGGTTTTGGGGTTTGGTTTTGGGATCCTTTTAAGAGAACCTAGGAGGCTTCATTGGCTCATATAAGGACTATGACTAGGGCAGGTCATCTTGGGGAAGCCTTTTCGGTTTGGGGTTTAGGACTTTAGGCCAGGAACCCTTGCGTGTAGGGCTTCAGGGATCAGGGAGCTTAAGGATGTTTGAGGTTTAGGGTCTGGCTTGGGGGTTTAGGGTCTGAGGGAATAGGATTTCAGGGTTTGGGGTGTTGGGCTTAGGATTTTCGGGCGAGGTTTCTGGAGTTTGGGGTTTGAGGCTGTAGGGGCTAGATAGGAAAATTCCAACATCAATACTGTTCCTGTATCCATGAACACAATTCAGATACTAAAGGATAACAAGAGAATACCTTTTCGTAGCTTGGGCATGTCTTTGCCTACTTTAGCGGCCAGCGATTGTTCTTTGATGTGCTTTTGCCAGGGCGAGGTTGTTATGAGGCTCTGTCTCGGTTTGGGTGCTGGGGCTTGGGGGTGGGGAGTTGGGAGCTTGGGGTTTTCGACGAATCTTGTACAAAAGCGATGCAGGCAAGCTTCTCAAACTTGTGCTCCGGAGGGACTCTAGGGATATGCGGGGATTCAAGCGGAGTAGGGGGACACTTTGAAGGACTCGATCAGGAATCTTTTGACTCACTCCCACGTGAGGATTTGCAGCTTTTATTTACGCACGGGCTCCTGCTCGCCTCTTATATTGGGGTTATATTAGGGTTATATTAGGGTTATATTGGGGTTATATTAGGGTTATATTGGGGTTATAGTAGGGTTATATTAGGGTTATATTGGGGTTATGTTGGGGTTATATTAGGGTTATATTTGGCAGCATTGGTTCCGATGAGGCTGCGCTGCACACAACACCTTCAAGCGCAAACCTTCAAGTCAAAGCTTCAAACTCTTGAAACACCCAGTTGCTCAGTTCCCTGGGCGATGAAATTAAAAAGTATCGCCTTTGAAGCATGTCGTACAGAGGCTATCATAATTGGAAGCTTCTGCCTCTTTGGAGAAATCATGCCATCGCACGTGAACAGGCAAGATAATCGGGCGTCGGGGGAACGAAAAATTACTCAAGATTCAAGCCTCTTGTGCTATGTGCTGTGCATCGCTAAAGAACTAAGGGTGCAGCATTGGGTTCAGCCAGAGGTTTGGGTTAAGCCAGGAGTTCTAGCACCCCTAAAACAATGCCAAAGCACTACAACATGCTTCAGGCTTCCAAACCCTCGACCTTGAACACAGGACCCAAAATCCAACACCCTGAACTTGTTGCATCTGGGCTCTGAGCCCCGAAGCCCGGAAACCTCATCCGGAAAGCAGTAGATTGCAAAATTATGGCCCCCTTTTGGGTGCCTACAAAAAAAATGCCCCACCCCCCAAATAGTTTGGGTGCCCCAAAAAGGACCATGATTGGGACAGGCCCCCCCCACAAAAAATCTACCTGCCAATTCCTAGGAAGCCCTACATGTACCTAGACTTCATTTCATCTTTCGACTAATGTTTCATTTGGTTCTCCACGATTAGATTCAGAACCCTAATTAAAACCCCAAACCCCGAAAGCCTAAATCCCGGACGCACATCATTTCTCAAGGGTTCCTGGCTTGTACCCTCAAGTTCGTTTCCCTAGAAGGTTTTCCCCATTTTGTCCCGAATATAGACTTCATATGAACCAATGTAGTCCTCTAGAGTCCTTGTAAATGATCCCAAAACCCAGGGGTAGAATCTTAGGCCCTAGGGGTACGAGCCTGAAACCCTAAACCCTAAACCCCTATCTTGACCTAAACCCTAAACCCCCCATGTTGGACAAGCGGCTGCATCCCTTGCTGCATGCCAGGCATCATCATGCCCATGCCTGGGGTTTAGGGTTTGGGGTTTACGGTTTAGGATTTTGGGTTTAGGGTTTTGGGGTTTAGGGTTTGGGGTTTAGGTTTTGGGGTTTAGGGTTTAGGGTTTTGGGGTTTGGGGTTTAGGATGTATGGTTTAGGGTCTGGGGTTGAGGGTTGAATCATCCACTCCCCCTAATATGAACCCCCCAACACTAAGATTGAATACTCCTAATATATTATCATATGGGGAGTATTGAACATTAGGGAGGGGGGGTTTACTACATGGGGTAGGGGATTACTTTAAACGAATGACCTGTAATCCCAAGCTCGGATTCAAAAAGTCATCCTGCCTGCATTCTCATGCAGGCGGGTTACAACACCGCATATCAAACCCTATACCCTTATCGGCCCTAGTCCTTGAACCCTAAACCCTCGACAGTAAACCGTAAGCCCTAAGCCTTAATCCCTAAACCCTGAAAACCTAAACCTTAATCCCTAAACCCTAAACCTTAATCCCTAAACCCTGGGATCTGAATATCCCATTCCCCTCTTCGGCAAGGCATCCCCTCGACTACTTCAACTGCGAATCCCCCTTCAGATCCTATGCTCACACAAATCCATGAGATCCTATGCTGAAACAAATCCCTTAAGGGTTCAAACTGGAACTTAGGGTCCTCCAACCCCCACCCCCCACCACACAACAAGATCAGCCCCTTAACTAGCCCTAGCTAACACCGGAGGGAAGTTAACCAACCTCATGGCTCTTCCGGTCCCTCAGGCATGTATTCAAGTGTCTCAGGGTTGTACCCTAAACTCAACCCACTAAACCCAAAACCCTAAACCCAAATCCTGAACCCTAAACCCCTAAACCTTAAACCCCCTAAGCCCCAAACCCTGAACCCTACCTGTTGGTCTTGGGAGCGGCTGGCTCATGTAAAAGCTATATTAGTGGGAACCTTTAGGGGTACGGCCTTCGGATACAACTTCGTGAAAACCTCCTAAACCCTAAACCATCATGAGAAACTCCTGAACCCCAAAACCTAAACAGTAAATCCTCAACCCTAAATCCTAAACCATAAGCCCTAAATCCTAAACCATACATGGTTCTAGGGGGATTTGCAGAATCCGACCCCCCCCCAAAAAAATGCTTCTCAGCTACCCTGACCTGGCGCGGACCCATTGGCTCCTGGCGCTCCTGCTGGCGCTCCTCCTGGCATCCTCAGCTTTTGGCTGCTTGAAAAGAGTTTAGGGTTTAGGGTTGTTGAAGGTTTAGAGGCTAAGGGGCTTCGGACTTGAGATTTAGGATTAAGGTTCAGAATTTAGTCTTCGGGATGTGGTGTTAGGGGATGTGAAGGGGTACAGAAAGCTTGGGGATGGTATCAAGGGCTTAGGGTGTAGGGTTTAGGAAGAACATGGGACATGAAGTGGTAACTGCGATGTTAAACAGACTCAGGATGCAGAGGATAGGTAGGCCAAATACGAAACGCTAGTATGATCTAAAGTGTTACCCTAAGGGTCCA